GCTGGTACTCAGATGACAGAGGAGATCACACAGATTTTACCATCAGACTGAGAAAATATGCAGCATCTTGCTGCAAACACTCAAGGACCTAAGCTTCCTTAAGAAGTCCAGTCTTCTCTTTATCTTCTTGTAGACAGCTTCACACCTGTGTCTAGAGTCGGGTTTGTTGTACAGATGAACACCAAGGTATTCATACTCTTCCATCAGCCACGACCTGCACTTCTTCCATGCAATGTTAATAGTATTTGACTTTTTCCTGTTTCCTCAGAAATGTATAATCATCTCCCTTATTTCGTTGACACTCAGGATCAGATTATTTTTCCCAGACAATGCCACAAAGTGGTCCATCAGCTCCCTTAGCATGTGTGTATATAGTATTATATAAGCAACGGTGGTCTGAAAGGTGCATTATTAATGGTTCTCCTGTATGAGAAAAGTCTCTGCTCTTCTGTTCTCTGCTGTAAAAGTAAAGCTCTGTTAATGACTTTATTATTGAAATTATGTGTGCAGAGGCAGGAACACCCTCCCCATAAATATGCTGGACAGTGGGTCCTGAGAAGCAGGGATGAAGAACCCAGCTTTAGAAGTTCATTAAGGTTGTAGTTATGGTCGTTATTTACTACAGGAAAGACACTAAAGGCTTATCACCTATCAACAGAATATAATTTAAAAAATACTGAGCAACTCTTTCAAGCAAAGAGACTAAGGCTAACCAGCTTCCCTGTCATTTGTTCTGCCATGTTGACTTGTTTTTACATTACTTTTGCAACATGTTCCAAACTGCATGTGTGCTGAACAGGGGCCACACTTAAGTAAGGCTAGGACTTGTTGTGTTAGTCGTGTGTTATTGACTTTCTGTCAAGCTGACGTGGCTGTTTCTATGGTGACCAGTTCTTTTCAGATTGATTTATGTGTTACAAATGTTAGGTAAGCATCTTTCAGAAGTGCTAGATGAGATTATATGAGAGAGGGTCAGGTGCAGTGGTTCATATCAAGGTCTTTTTAATAGTGTGACATGCAGATTTCTATGTTCAAGTTATTAAGATGCTGTTTTGATATCTTTTTCCATCTGAAATTTACGTGTACACTTTTTTTTTCAAGAATGTGTGATATAATCTGAAGTTAGGAACAAATATTGCTTTCAAGGTTTTATTTGTATTCATATTTAACTGAGTCACAGGGATGAGTGTTAGTTGGTTTATGCTTACATCAGCTGAGAGGGATATTCCTAGGGAGAAAGACAATCATGTACATTAAAAAACACCTGCCACTAATTCATACTCATCCATCAACCTGCTTCTCTTTAGATTCTAAGGTAAAATATTTAGGTCAGAAAAAAATTCCAACGTGGGCTGAAGGAGAATATTTTCCCTATCCAAGGCAAGTCGATAGCTAATTCTCAACTCAGCATGGACATTATTAGCTACCTAAACTCTGAAGTCATGCTTTATTTGTATTCTGGACTATAATCTCTTAAATTGTGGTGCTATTCAATAAAGACTCTTTAAAGGGGTCATATAATGATTTTATAGGGTATTTGGTGCTGGTTCCTAAGGTGTCTGAAAAGGGTGTGTGACATTGGTTGAGCTGAAAATGGCATATTTGCTGTTCTATGAGCCCTAATGCAAGCCTGGTCAAAAGTCCTAGAATGAAACGAGAGGTTTTCTTCCTTTTATAGTATGCTCATGAATATTTAAATGAGCTGTGCGCTGATTGGTTGGTTTGCAATGAGCAAACTGAAAATTGTTTATATGGTAGGGTGACCAGACGTCCTCTTTTTCCAGGACATGTCCTACTTTTCATACCTCAAAAATGGGGGGAATTTGAAAATCGTCCGGGATTTTGGTCGACTACAGTGCAGCACCTAGTCGAAACACACCGGGCACTCGAACCGAGCCGTGAGCTCCGGGGCTGGTCCACTAACTCCGGCGGATTAAGGCAGGGAGCCTGCGGGGGACGGAGCGACCAAACCCGACCTGGTGACGGTACCCAGGACACCGGCGGCCCCGTGCTTCCCCCTCACTAAGTTGGGTTTGGTTGTTTCGTCCCCCGCTGCTGCTGGCTCCCTGCCCCCGTCCGGTTCCTGGATCAGCCACGGAGCTGAGGGCCCGGTTCGAATGCCTGGTGCGGTCGGAACAGTCCCCCGTTTCCATAAAATTCAAAGCAAATCCTACTTTGAACTGTCCAACATTTTGAAAGCTGCCTTCAGTAAAATGATTAGAGCGCATGAACAGCTGAGCATCAATCTTTGCAGGGATCTTCTGATAGACAAAAGTTATCCATGCCTGTCAAGTCTTTGGATCCTTGGGAAGACTGTGAAAATGTTCCCCTTTTTCTGTGCAGCCTGGGACACTGCATTTACGCCCGTGGTTCTGGCTCATTTTCAATAGATAAACTGCCTTCTTTATAATTCTTCTAGAAGTAAACCCAACTGTAGGCTAAACAGCTAAACTGGTGTCTTACATCTACCTCTATTTATGTTCTTGGGCCGTGAACCAGTGGGCTGTCTATATGTAAATTTCAGGCCGTGAAAAAAAGTACAGGCCAGAACCAAATAAGGCAACATCCCCGAACTATTGTCAACTCGGGGCTTTGTTTGGATTTGCCAGTTTTATGGTGGAAGTTTAGAATTTTGAGATTTGGAGAGAAAGGAGGTGTCAAAGGGGTTTGAACTTCTCTGTGCGGCCATTTCACCCACTGAACTATCGTTATTCATCTATGACAATGTAAGCTCAGTTTTGCATTCTATGACCCCCTTTAATTCCAGAATTACTTTGTTCCAAGAATAAGATTTTTTGCCACTGTTTGGTTGAAAACAATATGACTGCAAATTCAGGTAAACGGCTTCCTAGAGCATCAATTGCTTAGATTGTTTGTTTCATTCATGATTACATTCTTAACAACAAAGCATCTAACATCCTTAAATGGGGTTCTTTCTAAACTGTTATTCTGTTACTGTTTTGGATACAAAAACATCAGTTTTGCCACATGGAGTGCATATTTTAGTTGAATTTGGGAAAATGTGGGAAATTTGAAACCATTTCTTTTGTTATAGGAATGTTCTGACTTTTGAGTTTAGAATACATCACATATAATACAACAAAAATGGAAAATGTAAATAATGTTATTTGCATCAAAATAAGATTTTGCAGAAGAGTCTGGAAAATAAATATATAAGATATAAAACATATAAAATATTTTGATATCTTACTTTCGGAAAGGGAAATATTCAGTGTTTTTAGCAACCTGCTCTATATTTTTATTAGCTTTGACAACTGCAGACTACAGTTGGAATTATGGCACACCTGCAGTTTGAAGACTCTTTAGGTTTGTCAGCCCACATCTGTGCATGTGGGCTGCATGTCTGGACCCTATCTGCTACGCTTTCGGATTCGAAATGGCAAGCACTGAGAGCCTCATCGCATAAAGACAGGAGAAGCGTTCCAAAAATTTATGATTTTTTAACGTGTTTTTTTTTTTTTTTTTTACTACACCTTTGTCAAAGTTTTGTTTGTGGGACTGACCTTTAATTCATTTTTGGTGCCCATACAGAGGGTGAATGGCCCTGTTGAAATGATAAAGGAAAGGTCACAGATCATTTCAACACTTCTTCAACAAATAATATGACTTGTATCCCTTACAATCCAACTGACCATTGAAAATATCCCAGTTTTAAAGGAAAAATAATCCAAAAATTTTATTCCACATAGCCTGATGTTTCACTCAGAGATGAGTGTTCATTTTGCATTATTCATTCAGTATTGTTTTTCATGCCAAACACACAAATTGGGAGATATGGCCTGTAAGTTTTGACTATAACACGTTTTACCAAAAGTTTATGAGAAATTTCTGCCCCGCTTCCTAATCTAGACATTTGGAGACCACAGTCATTTCTTCTTAGAAATTCTTGCTACTTCTTCAGTGTTGCTCTCCGCCTCCTTGACCAGCTGCTATTCTGTTCTTACTATAGATTTTGGATAAAATTCCACCTTATGAGCAACACTCTACTCCTATTATTACTAGTAAATGGTTTAGATGTTTGTTGTTCTTCTCTTTATTGATACCTTAAGAAAATCTCACCCTTGTTGCCTTTCACAATATGTTTTTCCAACAATGGAAATCTGGAGAAATCAGAAAAATCCTATTTGCCCTCCTGGACATGATTGTATAATAATCATTACTAAGGACATATGTGAACTCAGAACTGAAGAAATGCTGAAATTTGTAGAGTGAGGTTATTTTTTAGATTTCTTAAATTATAAATTTCTTATGATGTTCTCTCTATAAGAGAATGTTTTCATAAATCTAGCATTGCATCTTGAAAAAAAAATTTAAAAAATGGACATTTAACACAAGTTTAATAGGTTCAATAGGTTTGTTTAATCTTCGTAGGTCCACTTGGGTTTTACCCACACAAATACCAAAAATGTCAGTGTTCAGATCAACTTTTAAGTCCAAACTGCATTGCCTAAACATTATATTTAATGCTAAACAGCCAAATAATAGACAAACAGAATGGATCCACACACAATCATATATTTCCTTTTTTTACATGAACTTAGTACCTGGGATAGACATGTTTTTTTTTTGTTTTGTTTTTTTTTGCAAGGGACCAGACATTCACAGACTTCCCCTGATTTAGACATGGCTCTTTCAGTCTACATGTTTGAAGTGGTAAGAGAAGGAAAACATTGTCATTTTTTCCTGGTCTGTTGTGATGTGGTTTGATGAAATTCTTTGTGGGGGTTCATGCAGTTCCTTTTCCTTGGCTCCAACTGTAGAGTGTGTGGGTAGTTAGCAAGGTGATCTCAGTGAAGTTTCCCTATAGTGGAGCCCTGATTCAGACAGCCAGACACCATAATGCCCGTTCATCTGTAACCCATAATGACCGTGTGTGACTGGAACTGGTCATTTTCGTTTTCCCTTCCAGTTCAGCCCCCGTCTCCCTCTCTGTACAAATGCTGACTGCGTCTTATGGCCGGAGTTGTTAAGCTTTCCACATTTGTTTTCATACTATATGGAAGATAGTTGTTGGGACAGTATCTATTTGCCAGGTGGAAGTGATGGATGTGCCTCGAGGGAGTGGACGCTATCTTTTTGCTCAGGAGCAGAAAAAGGGCATCGTTAGATGTTCCCTGGGGCATCGTACCCTAAACTGGCCAGGTTACATTCTCCTGTGAGATTATATCCCCAGTTTCCTTATCTCTACTGGATTATCTTCCAACCTTAGAGATTGCACTACCCTAATGTAAGTACTGAACAGGAATTAAGTTCATAATCATTTTAAGAGCAAATCAATGGTCAGTGATTAGAAAGCATTAAAACATAGATTTTACTGATGGATGATCTGGAGCTGGTTTAGTTAACTCAATTTGAGTCCTGGGTCAAATGTTTACAGACGATCTGCTGTATTGTTTATTACAGTAGGGTTTGGTCATGGGTTTTACCCAGCAAAAAGCCTAATGGCTCAAGAAACTGCTTTAATTCCTGCTACTGCTGAACTATAACAACATTTTGATTTGTTTTTTACCTTTTTTATTCTTGTATTATTCATTTTTAGAAACAAAAAGATACAACATACAGAATAAATAAACCTAATGTACCGGTAGTAGTGGTAATTGTGCAGTACTGGTGGTCTTTTTTGTTGTTTCATCTCAGTTTAAACCTATATAACCATAAAAAGCTAATATTAGCTGGCTTATAAATCGTAGTTCTGTGTGGGTAGGTTTGCATTTGTCTGCATAATAAAACAAACTGCTAGTAACTTGAAAACCTCTTTAATCAAATTTACATTGATAAGAGTGACCTGTTGCAGTGCAATAGTTTTTACACCCTGGCTATTTGCAGCAAGGAGTATTGCCAAATTTGGGCATTACATCTATTTTAGCTAATTCCCAAGAAAATATATTTAAAGTTACAAACACTAGTCAGAATTTAGCAGAATTTGCATTTGTGTTCTATTTAAAGCATTTTGGGTTCCTGAGCAGAACAGCTTTAAAAAGGATGGCGGCCACCGCACACTTGCCTTCCTGTATTTTTTCACACTTGTCTGACTCCACCAACGTGCTTTTCCCTCAAGACAGCACAGTCCTCATTAGATCATTTTCTTTACATACTAAAGAAAATGATCTGTTATCCTATAATGCTTTTGCAATAAAAAGGTTTGTTGGATTTTGCAGCTGCTTCCCACTATTGAATATATACTATTGACTTTCATAAGTGAGAGTAAAGTACATCAGCTCAATTGATAATAGTATGTGTATGTGTAAGTATTCCCATTATGCCCGAGAACAGAACACAGAGTCTCAGAGTGGTGCTTTAGATTAGCTACTGAGTTAATTGTCGGGTTAACAATTTGCTTTTCTTCTGTCTTTCAGATTACGGTGTGCTGAAGAGAATAGATTATACTGAGGAGAGTGAAACAGAGCCCACAAAAAGAGATACTCCTGCACAATGTTCTAGGGGAGTGGGGCAAGAAAGCGTGCTGTATTGATACTGTTGACGTGTCTGCAAGACCAAAAAAGACACAGCCATGGGGCGGAAGAAGATACAGATTACCCGAATTATGGATGAGAGGAACAGGCAGGTAAGTTGGGAAAGACCAATCTGTCACTTTCTATATGTATCTGTGTGGAATAAAATATTTCCACCATATTTGGAAAAGAAAAACCCTTCTCTGTGTGAAACCATGCTTATTAATAAATGTGATTATTTATTTATTCAAATTAGTGACCAAAAAAAAAAATTCAGTGTAATTTCAAATTGTCAAATGGAAAGGTGAGTGTATTTATCACACCTTCTGGCTCACAAATGTAGAATCAGGTGTTCCACAGAAGGTGCTGATAAATAAATCCTTCTCAGGTTCTCAGACACCTGTCATTGCTAATCTGCTGTTTTTCTTTTTAGATAAAGAGAGTTTTAATATCTTTACAGGATCCTACGAGCTGTTTAATGGCTTAAATACAACGGAATTTAACTAGCCTGGCAAGAGGGTTAAAAAAAAAAAATCTTAAATTAATTTGAAAGCAATAACGCTTAGCGACTATTAGCTGCAAATTAGAACACAAGGGCTGATCTCCAAATCTCTTATGTTCAGTAAAGCTCTTCACACAATTCTTCAGAAGTTCTTGGATCTCTCGGTATCAAACATGATCTGTTTGGCAGGGTTAGGGGAAAAGAATAAAACTATGCCTCACTAAAATACCTAAATACTATGAACCTTTTTTAAAATGCATGATCTTGACAGATTTATGCTTTATACATATTGTAGAGGGTTTTTTTAGGAGAAAATTCACAGCATTGGAGGTGTTATGATTGGTGTTTCGGTCTCATTTTCAGAAATCAAACAACCTGTCTTCATGGATTGATCTATACATTCGGACTCAGTAGAAAGATTTATTGAAATTACAGTTGATACTGATACTTGAAGCTGATACTATAAATACATCAGTGTAAACTTTGTTGCATGGTTCTGATTTCTTTTTGTTGTGCCACTGTAACTTGCCGATACAGAATTCGGACAATTGTTATTTTTCTTTAAGAACGATAGATGGTATAAAAATGGTTACCATTATTTTCTCTTGCCTTCCTGATTGATAGATCATCTGGTGGCTAGGACCTGTATGCAAAAGACATTTAGAGTCCCAAACGAATTATCCCTGGCAAAATCAAGGTTGAATAAAAAACAAAATAAAAAATCAGCTATTTATAGCAAAAGCAATGACATTGTCTGAGAGAACATTCACTTTAGTCACAGTTTTAGGAACATTTTCAAGAGGATTAGGGTGAACATTTTAAAGTGTATTTAGCATCTTACAGTATATAAGTAAACAGTATTGTGAGTGTGCCATCCTAATAAACTGGTTTGTATATTTTCATCTGTTACAAATGTAGATTACAACAGCATTCCTAGGCAAATAGAGGTTGTTACCTATGTAGAATAAAAGGCATCAGCTTTGCTATAGTCTGTTAAGGTTTCTAGTGTCTGCTTAAACTCCCACTCTCATCCAATCTGAATTACAGACATGTTCTCCTTGTCCTGACAAGTTGTAGAAAATAGAATTTCCTTTTAAATACCCCATTACCTATGTTGATGAAGATTCTCAGTCATCCAGGTCATAGTCTTTCCGTAAAAGTTTTAAAAACAATCCACTGGACTTGGTTTCCAAGATTTGAAGACGTTTCGCTTCCCCTCCAGGAAGCTTTCTCAATTCAAATGTCTGGATCCGCAGTGAGTTTGAGTCTTTATATAGGCAAGGCCTTGTATTGCTTGGAAACATGCAAATTGAAACTGACGAGTGGGTCGTTTGGTTCGATTGTTAGCCTGTAATATCTAAAACCTGTCTATGATTCTGAAGGTCGGTCGTTAAGAAAGCTTCCTGGAGGGGAAGCGAAACGTCTTCAAATCTTGGAAACCAAGTACAGTCGATTGTTTTTTTAAACTTTTACGGAACTCATTACCTATGTTTGCTTCCTCAGACATCTTTTTTAAAATAAGTGATACTGAAAATGACTAACTTTTAGTCTTCTTCAATTATTAACAGTCTTGTCAACCAGAAAATGGCTTATTTTAAGCTGTTAGCAGGAACACATTGTATGTATGCTGATCAGAGAGCTACTGACTTCTGAGGACCAGTTAAACTGGAAATCAGTTGGTGCAGTTTAACAGATTAATTTCTGGTCCTATTCTAGCTTAATTAAATGAATCTAGATGCTGATTATCCCATGATGTGTTAGCACTGTTTTTCAAATTTACTTACATGTTCTTATTTAAATATGCTTGGGGAGAATATAAGATTTCTAGTTTTCCATTAACTTGTTTGGTAGGATCATCTGCATCTTTATTTGCTGACTGAAAGTCACAGTTTTCTTCAGTGTGCCTCACTGCCTTGGACCAGAGTTCAGGAGCTGTCATGGTGTATCTAACCAGACAAATCTCCCTCCCCAAAGTCCCAGCCAGCTGAACAGGGACCATGACATTTCATTGTCAGTGTGGCCATATTTACAGACTCGGTTCCCCTGCCACCCTGCAATTTCAACGGGAGAACTTGATGAGGCAGCAGTAGTGCTGCACTGCAGAGGGGGCCTCATGGCATAGGAGTGAACTGTGGGTCCTCTGTAGGACTCGTCCCCCAGGTCCCGGCAGCATAACTGGGCCCCATTTTCACTGCAACTCTTATGGGTCTGAAGCTATTTGGTAGCAATTAGGAGCAGCCACTGTAGCACAGCACCCTCTCATTTGCAGGGTGGGGTCAGAAGGACACACAGCACCCATCTTTGTCTTGGCTAAATCGCCTCTGGCTAGCCACAAGAGAGGAGAACGCTGGAATTCTCTCTTGTCTACTCATGATGAATATAAAATCCTAAACAGCAACACGCTGCCTAAGAACAGGAATGTTTGAATATCTATAGCAGGAACATTATGCTCAATTTTATTTCACTTTTTTCACATTAAAGATAGCAGACAATTAACTGCTGCTTGTACACCATGTAAAATAAATGCATATTTTTTTGTAGGTAAATGAAACAGACCCACTAGAAGCCCATGATGCATTTTACTACAGTATCTTTCTCCTCTGACCAAGATGCTCATTGCAATGATGAGCAGTGAATCCACAATGTGGCCCAATTATCAGTGTAACACCTGGCTTTAGTTTGTACACTTTATGCACACACCTGTGACATGTCGAAGCAAACAGGAAGGGGATCATGTTGCAGAAAAGCAGGTCGGTATCTAATTGCTGAGGAAGCCAATTAGCTCCTCTGCTGATCCATTTATTGCACAGTGAGTCTGTACAGGGATAGTGCAGACACTTTCCTGTGTTGTTCCATATAAAATAGGATGTGGGAAAAGGAGATCGCTTATTAATGTGCTCTAAAAGGCTAGTATTTTCATCAGATTTAAATGTCTCGGTGTTTAATCAGCACAGTGCAGGCAATTCGGCTCACATTTAGGTAATTTTAGCTGGCACAGCAGAAAGTCAGCCATGACAATAGGCTACCGTGCTAAAATAAAGCTTTGGTATTAAGTGATGTATGTGTTCACATCGCTTTTTCTTTTTTGCTGTGGGGCATAAAGAACACAGTGCCATCTCCCTAGGGCATTGGGGGGTGGGGGGATATTTGCATGAAGTTTCCAGTGTCTGTAGACAGCTTAGATCTCTGTTTTTAACTTTTTTATCGAACACTTTAAAAATAAGAAATTCTTAAGTAGGCCATTTTTACAATATTCTTTTTGTATACGAGATATTGTATCAAGTAAATAAAACTGCATCAATGCCATAGCCGACCTTTGCCACCTTTGTTCCGATAGACCTAAATTCATATATTAATAAAACCATTTTTTGTGAAAGTGTCAAACAATAGCCCATTCCTTCTCTATGCAAACTACTTACACAGATAAGGTTGGGGTCTTGGAAAACAAATGGGTCAAATCAGCAAATGTATTACTTTTGTTTACATGCTGATTGCAAATGAATGCTAGATAAGAACAAACCTGCACAACATTGTGTTATTCTCTTGAATATCTTTTATTTATAATCTACTGAGACCAACAAAAGAAATCAACACAATGTTTTCAGCCGTTTCTTTCAGAAACGTGTATATTGTCCTCAAAGACCAAGCATAAATTAATTCCAAATCAGATACAATCCTACAGAAATCCTTATTTAGTTTGTAAATTAAAGAAAATCTTTGCTGTGTGTAGAATCAGAGGGCCTAAAAACCAATCCAGTGTCCCCGTACATGAACCCTACCTATCCTTTTAATGTTTTTAATCTGTTTTAAAGCAATTGATGCTGGTAAGGTGCAGATGTCTCATTAGAGTTTTTATTTAGTGCAAATGTTGGTGTAACCTAGTAAGCCTTGTCTGGTGATGTCCTCTGGATGCCATTAAACTAGCTCACTGGGGGTAATAGTCCAAGTCATTAAAAGTTTGATGATTTTGCTGCTGGGTGGAGGGTTGCTTGTCCTTGCTGTGGCTCATTTTGGATTTTGCCCCAGTAAGTCAGCTCCCTGGTGGCACATTCAGGGTCGCCCTCTCTTACTCTCTCTCAAGAGAGCAACGAAAAAAATCACACCTCCTGATTTTCAGCTTTCATCTTTTCTCAACGTTCTTTGCATCACAGTTTAAAAGCCAAAATCAAACGAAAAAGAAGAAACACAAACTGTCCATAACCACATTTACTATGATAGTTTGCGATAATATAAAAGAAATTCTGTGAAGCTGAGCTGTCAAGGTTTATAATTTCCTTATGATTAAAAAAAATACAAAAAGTATATAAATTTCACATATAAATGTGAATAAGCATGTTTAGTACACATTAAAATGAGTATGACAAAAAGAGCATTAGACGTGTCAAACACATGTATATCAAATGTGTGTAAAATGGGCATGATGGTCTTGTGAAATAAAATGTCGTTTGAAACCCTGGATATGCTTGTTAAATAGTAAAAAGAAAACGTTTTTTTATTATTTCTAGCCACATCTAGCTGAACCCCTCCCAAAAAACGCTTCTACTCAACTATCCATTTTCACTCTACTGCACTATTAAACAGTTCTACATGTACCAGAGAGCCCCTTCCTTC